AACAAAATATAAATTAGACATCCTAATCGATATTATGTATCACTAATAAAATTTTCAATCTAAAAATCTAATAAATTAACATAATCATCTTGTTAACTATATAAACAATCCAATACTAAGATATAATTATACATATTTGAGTGGATACCTTAAACTTTAAAATAAAAAGAACATATACAATATATACAATGGTTTCATATAAACATATTGTTGTGGATTTTTTTTTCATGAGGCAACTGGTGTAAAAAAAAAAATATATTATTTATGATTTAATAAGTTACATTCTGAATCAATAAATAACCATTAATTTGGGGTTAAAAGTTATATTATTAAAATAACATTTCAATCCAATTAACATATATAATAGTTTTATCTTCTAAATAAAAAGTAATAAAATGTTTATTGAAATTTAAGTAAAGCTAATATAAAAATCTAAACTAATTTACAACATATAATCAAAATCTTAAATAAAATTTTTAGCAGATAATTATTTGATAAAATATAATTTAACTTTTTTTATAGTTTGTCTTTTTATGAAAATATATGAATATTTTTTAATAAATTTATTATTAGTAAAAACTTATTTCGCAATCAATTTCAACTCTTTACTATTTTCTCTTTGTAAAAATAGTTTTCATCGTAATATTTTCTCTCCAGTTTTTTCATTAGTAAAAAATGAAATTGAGTAATGTAATCATTTTTTGGTTGTTTTTTAAAAATATAACACTTTTTTTAAATGACCATTTATTCCGGAATGGGGCATTACGGAACATACTTCTGACTAATTTTCGGGTAGGCCGGCCCATTACCGTGCCTCCAGAATTCCCATTATGAACTATCCGTCCGTATTTCGGATCGGGAATTTGAAATTCAAATTCTGGAATATAATTTAAAAATATCTGGACCCTCGCATTTGTTCTGGATCTTGCTCCGACTTTTCGATTCGATTCCGACACGCAACCCCGATCCTGATTCTGATCTCCGACACGCAACTCTGATATCCAAAACGCAACTCCGACATGGAAGAAGACCACTATGATCCCGTTATTTTTCGGGTATGTTCTTCACTTCAAAAACCTAGTTTGCTTGTTTGTATAATGTGCTTATTAATCTCATATTACTGTTCCAGAATGCATAGAACATAACTAGTTGTAATATACATGTGATGTTGAAATATTTTTGATTGTATATAACAATATATCGATATTGACTTCTAATTTTCTATTTGTAAAAAGAAAAAAATATGAATTTTAACATATATTAAATTTTTTTAGATAAAAATAAAGCGTCTAAGTCATAAAATATCATCATCTTTAAATTGACGTACTTAGGTTAGAAGTTCTGACTGAATTAACCTTTAACTGAAACTTGTTGTTTGAATTTGCACATGACTAACCATACAAAATGACTATATTACTCTCAAACAACATCTTTTTATAATATATCAATAATCGTTTTTTCTTTATTTTATATCACTAACCTCCATCATTTGAGGTCATTGCATTTTTCCAAATGATTCACAAGTAATATATAATCCCAAAAAGACAACACATGAAATTCCAAATGATTCATAAGTAAATATATAAATTATAATCTACACTGTTTCATTCAACTCATCTCTCCATTCCTTATAACAAACATAAAAAATATGAATTTGATAATGTCAATATGATATATAGTTTGCTCCGATAATAGATGTTGAATTAGTTTATACATGGATTCGGTCTCACTGAAAGTATGAGAATCAAAACTCTAAAAATAAAGAACATAATACAAAATGAAATATCAAAAATAGAAGACGAATTGATTATATTTATTAATAGAGATACCACAATAATTATTCATTTAGTTAGTTATCCAATACAAAAAAGTTACAATCGAAGACCCATAAACAAAAGCACCAGTCCCAAGTCGAAACAAAGGATAATGACGTCGGCAACCTTCTTGAATCTCTAAACCAAAACTAAAGATTTAGAGAAAGAAACAAATTGAATTACAATTTTTAGGAAGTTGAAAATAAGCAAATTTGAAATCGCAAACAATCAAACCCCAATTTTATGAAATCGATTTCATTTATTGATTCAAATAATCGATTAAAGAGGAAGATGACTGTTGGTGGTGGATGGAAAAGCTATGTGACCGATTGAAGGAGAAGTCCGACGATAGTGGAGGAGGTGTCTGACGATTGATTGCAGGCGAACCAATGGTGGTGGAAGGAGAAGTTATGGTTTGGTTTGATGGAGAACCATGGTTCGGCATACGAAGAAGAAGCACGGAAAAGGGTATATATGAGAACGACGCACAAAAGACTCGGTCAAGGGTATTTTTCCTTGGACCGAATCAACACAAAAATGGGGATTGGATCCTTGATTTGGACCGCGTCCAAAGGTATAGAAAGGAAAACAAACAAGCTAACTTTAGATTGAGCACCGGATCCTAACTTTGGACCCACTTAGAAGGTAAATCAAATGACCCCTAACTCATTTGACAACTATCAAACGACTCCTTAGTCATTGTTTTTTTTTTCAACAAAAAATGTTTCACTTAGGTAATTTGGTTAAAACGAAATGATCTTCGTTAAATAGCAAGATAGCAACATAATATATTTGCAAATGTATAGGGATGATCGTTGTATAATTTTGATTGATAAATAATGATATTTCATGGTTTAATATTACTGTATTAAACCAAAATTTTGATATTATCCCCTAACAAATTTATGTATATAACTTTAATTATGTAAAACTGTCACATGCAAAAAAGTACAATTAAAGAAAACATGAATGCCTCAAAAAGACAGTCCCAAAGAAAAGCACAAACTTAAAAACAGTATAAAGTACGACTTAAAGTTTGCTATGCATGAAATATATAAATTAAAAAAAAAAAAAAAAGAAACCAAAAGATCAACTATCCAATGCATGCAACGATACAAGTACTAACACTAATTGTACAATATACATCCTTGTTAAAAAGTTGCTCAAATGATTTATATAAAAAGAGAATCGAAAACAATATTTAAAGGTGCCAAAATCAACAAGTTTTGTAATGTCATAACAAGTTAAAATGCTTAGTTTTTGTATGGGTTAACATGATTTGTGTTGGGATGACCGTTTGATATGTATGCATTTTTTTTAATTATATAAATATTTAGTAAGTGAAATTTAATTACAAAATTATATTCTTACGAAAACAATCTACCTTTTTAATAAAATGTTTTATGATGTTGTATAATTAACCTAAGTGAAACATTAAAAAAAAACAATGCACGCCGAACTACAACCATCACAGTAAACTAAATTGATTAATTATTTGTGAATCAACTAATTTTGTTTCAGGATTAATGGTAGTTATTGTTTATGATTTTGGTTAATTTTGTGCGCCTCTTCAAAGTACTTGCATGTTAATTTCAAATTATTTATTACAAGTTGTTTATAATTTTGATTAGTTTATTGTTTTTGAATATTTGATTGATGGTTATTGTTTTAGATTTTGTTTTTTGGTTTTTGATCTGCCGAGAAATAAAGAGAGATCACATCAGAATGAATGTTTGATAGTTGTTGATTGAGTCAGATTCGATTAAGTCAACCGACTCATACAAAATCTCAAATCTAAACGAGTAAGAGATATATAAGAAGAGTGAGGATCGAGTTAGAGATTTTTAAATATAAATATATAATATCAAACAATCTGAAACAATCTAAATGCGATTAAGTAAGATCAAACATAGTACGAGACTCGATATAAAACATATCAAACAACTCCCTAATCTACCATCAAAGGCCTTAAAAAAAAAATTAAATTTACAAGTTGAAATTGTTTTGAACTAATTGCAAACAATAGGGATCATTTTTGCCGTTTTTTATTGTTATATTAGTATGGCCCATAAATGACCAACCAAACTCCCCAATCGGTTGCTCCTCCTCTGCTCTACACCCACAAACATCATCATCAAAATGACAAAATCAAAACTTAAATCTTTGGAACGTTAATCCAAATCCCATTTCGCATTTACCATTTCTAATTCTCTAACCCCCAAAATCCCTCCCATCATGCCATCAACCACGCCCTCCCCCACCACAAGAAAAGAAGCCCTCCTCCTCCGCCGCTACGAGATCGGCCATGTCCTCGGCCATGGCAGTTTCGGCAAAGTCTACGTCGCTCGCAACGTCAAAACCAACGAACAAGTCGCCATTAAAGTCATCGACAAAGAGAAAATTTTGAAAGGCGGTTTAATCGCTCACATCAAACGCGAAATCTCCATCCTCCGCCGTGTCCGACACCCCAACATCGTCCAACTCTTCGAGGTAATGGCTACAAAAACCAAAATTTTCTTCGTCATGGAATACGTAAAGGGAGGTGAATTGTTTGGTAAAGTCGCTAAAGGTAGATTAAAAGAAGAAATGGCTCGAAAGTATTTTCAACAACTGATTTCCGCAGTAGGGTTTTGTCATTCACGAGGTGTTTTTCATAGAGATTTAAAACCTGAAAATATATTATTAGACGACAATGGTGACCTAAAGGTCTCCGATTTCGGGCTTAGTGCAATCTCCGAACAAATTTGCGGTGATGGTTTGTTCTACACATTTTGTGGAACTCCGGCGTACGTCGCGCCGGAGGTTTTGGGCCGAAAAGGTTACGAAGCAGCAAAAGTCGATATCTGGTCTTGTGGGGTCATCTTATTTGTGTTAATGGCAGGTTATTTACCATTTCGTGATCAAAACATAATGGTTATGTATAAAAAGATTTACAGAGGGGAATTCCGGCGACCAAGGTGGTTCTCACCGGAGCTAACACGTTTATTAAAACGATTACTTGATACAAACCCAGAAACCAGAATCACCATATCGGAAATCATGGAAGATAAGTGGTTCAAAAAAGGGTTTAAACACACAAAATTTTACTTCGAAGATGACAAGATCTTTAGCTTAAAAGATGAAGAAATTGACGATGATTGCATAGCGTATGCTTCTGATCAATCTGCTACTGAATCTGAAAGTGAATCAGATGGTATAAGACGATCTAGACCCACGAGTTTAAATGCATTTGATTTGATTTCATTTTCACCTGGATTTAGTCTTTCTGGGCTATTTGAAGATGGAAGTGAAGAATCAAGATTTGTCACTGGAGCTCCGGTTTTTAAAATTGTTTCAAAGTTGGAGGAGATAGCAAAAGTGGTTAGTTTTTCAGTGAGAAAAAAGGATTGTAGGATTAGTTTAGAAGGGTCAAGGGAGGGTGTTAAAGGCCCATTAACAATTACAGTTGAGATATTTGAATTAACCCCAAGTTTAAGAGTTGTAGAAGTTAAAAAGAAAGCAGGGGATAAAGGCGAATATGAAGAGTTTTGTGAGCAGGAATTAAGGCCCGGATTGCGACCTTTGATGCTGCCCGGGACTTGTGGACCTAAACGGACGGTTTCGGCTCCCGAATGAAGAAAGAAAGAAGGGGTAAAACCGTAAAATAGTAAAATGGTATGGTGTTATTGTGTTATTTTACCTCTTTGGTCTTGTTAATTATCTCTTTCTTGATGCTAAAATGCTAATTTTTGAAGTAGAAGTTCTTTGTTCTTTTGATCTTTTGTTATTGGGATCCAATGGTTTTATCTATGCGTTCTTGCAATTTGGTATTTTTGAATGCAATTCGATTAGTTATTCGGGTCTGTGATAGAGTTTGTGAATCTTTGTTAGGATCTACCATATGTCAGGTAGATTCTTAATCAATCTTTCATAGCATATAGAATTCATTACTTTTGTTGAAATGTTGCATTTGTAACATTGGACCTGACAAACATTATAGGGCTATCTTCGATGATGAGGACATTAACGTATTTTTAGTAAAAATCTTTTGGACTTGACAAAGTTTATAGGTCTATCTTCGTTGAGGAGGGCATTAACGTATTTTTAGTAAAAATCTTTTGGACTTGACAAAGTTTATAGGTCTATCTTCGTTGAGGAGGGCGTTAACGTCTTTTTAGTAAAAATCTTGGTACAACTTCTTCCATCTTTTGTCCACCGCGTGTGTGGGCCTTACAACAAAAACTAAAGAATTAAACTGTTACAAAACATTGACATAGTTTATAACATGATTTTTTAGGCAACCAAATGACATAAAAACAAAAACTACCACAAGGCTAGGAAAGAGAACCAATTGCAAATTGTTTAGTGGGTTTTTTAACCGGTTAACCCAACTAACACGACACAACCTATTTCTATAAGAAAACAATAGAAAAGAAAATTCTCTAATGGACTAAAAAATGCTATCTTTTCTAATCTTTCCTACACCTAAAACTTTGTCGTTTCTAAACTTTCATAAGTATCAAACTATAACACACACACAACCGCATCAATCAGTTCCGTTCCTCTTCTTATCTGTGCATCAGAAATTATCAATGAAGAAGAACAAATCAGCCACCGAATTACACCCAACCAAGTTCACTTCTAACCATTTAAAAACTGCATTCCAGGTTCTAGCCGCTACTTCACATCTAACAAAAAACAATGATCAAGTTGTTCTGTCTCCAAAGAACAAATCGAGCATAAGCAGGGCCGGTCCATACGTTTTCAATGCCCCGGACGAAGAGACATAAATATGCCCGTATGTATAATTGAAGGGAACTCAAATAAAATATAAATTTATAAAATAAAAATGTAGCACTTTTATAATTTATAAATTCTATAACCATACAACTAAACATGCAATGACTACCTAAAACAACTTTGTGTGGGGTCGGTTACATGTCGAACTGATTGAGTACATGGTTGCTGCCTCATGATGGATTTTAGATTAGCTTTCTTCTTTATTTTGCAAGTTGGTTGCTGTTTCTAGGTGGACTTTAAAGTTTGTTGCTATTTTTGGTGCTACCTCAAAACTTCTTTGCATCTATCTCTCTGTTCTGATGCTCCTCAGTTGGTTTTGTTGCTATTCTTCTGTTTTGTATCTCGTCTGTTTGTACTTGACAGACTCCCACTGGCTTCTCTTTTGTATATAATATTTTCCTTACCGTTGAAAAAAACTCGATCTTTCTTGATTATTTTTTGAGTCATTGTAGTCTACATAGATGACTATGATTTCTACTTCATGTGTTTCTAACAGCAACATGCCCTGTTAAATCTGTAGCTTAATAAATAAATCCATCAATTTTGTTTCAAGATGCTAATAAAAACATTTGAACTTTTGAAACAAATGATTTGACAAATGAACAAAAAGCAAAAATTAGAATATAAATTATACTTTAGTAAAACTTAATCACAAAACTGCAAATTCATAAAACAGAAGTAAAAATTTCTAAATGAAATCTTTGTCCACTTAATCACTTATGTATAATTATGCATTCCTTCAACAAATATCAGTTTCAAACAATAATCAAATTAGTAGACATTAAAGAACTAAAAAGCGTTCCTTTTTATTATTATATCATAAATTACTTATTGAGCAAAACAAGAACTACTTCACAAATAATTTGATAAAGTAAACATTAGTCAATATTCAGTTAACATTTGATAAATAAGAATTACATGATGATATGAAAAGAAAACAATAATTGCAAAACACAAACCATACAAATTTATCAAAATAGAAATAAAATATTCCCTAAATTTTGTGGAGAAAAAGCAGAAACAATTAAGGAGATTCCGATTTTTCTACAAAGCCAATGGACAACCCGACAAAGAGTGAATAAGTGCTTAACCATGAGAATTGAGGATTTAGAGGATGAGAGCTTAGATACAAAATACCAGATAATAGAGGTCATGAGAATGAAATTGAGATTTTGATCTATACGACTATACCGAAAGCCAAACAGGCAAAAACGAAAACGCAGATGCAGGTAAAGGCGTATGATAAGTTATCATTGCAATGACATCAATCACTAAGGGCAGTAAGAACGGCGTCCCAGTAGATCTTGTTTAGTGTTTATCGTTGCAGCAGATCGGAATTTTTGTCTCCTCATCTTCAATTTCTATTGAACGCGCTTATATTCCCTCTGATTTTTTTTATTTGCCGCCTTCTACTTCTCCTCCCCGCCTCTAGAAGCTGCATTTATGATCCAAGTATTGACAAGATTGGGCCAAAAAAAATTTCAACACCAATAGCAACTTGCTGAAAGTGATGCCCTATACGATGTGATGCCCTGGGCAGTGGCCCAGTTCGCCCTGCCCTTGGGCCGACCCTGAGCATAAGATAGACAAAATGTCTAGACCTCGCAAACTAAGGTTCAAGTTAGTAGGGAGTTTATCCAATAAAACACGCCATATTAAAATGTTTACCTTCCTAGGAATGACATGATTCCAATGGGTTTGAGTATCAATAACTGGAACCGGAAGGACTTTATCATCAATCCATCTTTTAGTATCTCCAACCGAAAAGTTCTAGAGTTACCAATATCTCACCACCATCTATCTTTATCACTATTAAGCTTAACAACTTGCAACAAATGACATAGATTAGAGAATTGCAACGCTTCCTCCCCATCTCTAATTGCCCTACGCCAACACCATTGTTTATCTTCACATGTCAACCGATAAGAAATAACACAATCTTTTTTTTGGATTCTCACTCAAATAATCTAGGAAACTTAATAGAAAGGAGTTGATCACCCAATCACACTTAAGTCCAGAATCTAGTCGCAACACCATCTCTCAATTTTTTCTTTAAAACTGAATGCTATAAAACTCCCCTTCCCGTCTAGTTTAGCAAACGAAGCAATGATTTTAAACCAAGGTCCCCCTCCCCCACGAAAAGAAGATCTCAAAATCTCTAGACTTATCCCCATAAATAACTTTTATGAGATGAACCCAAATCAAGTTACTATTATTTAAGAACCACCATCTCCATTTTGAACTAAAGCAAGATTAAAAGCCATAAGACTTCCAATATCCAAGCCACCACTATGTTTTCCAGCCAAGATCAAATCACATTTCACCCAAGCCATCTTTCTTTTTTCATCATCACCACCCTAAAAAAAATTGCCCGAGTGGATTCAAACTCTTTTTCCAGTCTAACCGACATAAAAAAAATCAACAAATAATACAAACCCAAGGAGCCTAAAACCGATATAATCAACATAGACCTCCCACCGAGAGATAAAGTAGTTGTTTTCCACTTAGATAATTTTTTTGTGTAACTTTTCTTGTATAGGTTTCCATCCCACCGCTCTAGACATATTTTGCCCAACCAAAAGACCAAAATATAAAAACAGAAGTTTGTGAGGCCGACACCCAACCATCCTAGCAAAACCGTGGACCTCCTCCCAAGGAACACCAATTCCAAAAAGATTTGATTTTTGTAAGTTTATCTTCGAACCCGACACCAAATAGAAACAATGTAAAATATTAACCATATTCATAACATTTTCCTTATCCCATTCACCCATGATTATAACATCATCAGCATAAAATACATGAGAAATAAAAAATTGATTCATACCAATTTTAACTCCTAAAAATAAGTTGGTAACCACCACATCTCAGTGGTAACATGCAATCCCTCCAGACTACATGTTTAACTTCCTCTAGGGTGCATGGAACTTTCAAACCGTCGTCTTGCTCCTCCGACAACTCTTAAAACCAATTACTTCTACTAACGACAGGAATAACTGAATTTTTCTTAAAATTTTCTTTAAAATCTTCAAAAAATACCTTTTTAACAAACTTCAATACTCCAGTGACCTTTAACTGTAACACCTTGTATTTGGATTTGTGTCGCCTTTTTTCCTTCAAAACCCCATGGTAATATTTAGAGTTCTCACCCTGTAGGGTTTCAAAGTACTCCATGGCTGATGGCAATAGCCCCCTTGATGAAGTGTAGGTTAAAAACCCAAGACTTGTCTTTTCCCTATAAATAGTCATGTATTATTCATAATTAGGGTTAAGAGTGAGGCAAAATGTAGCCGCCACGTTGATAGGTTTCTTGTAGAATTAGATTCTTATTCCTTAAAGTGTAATATGTTCCTCATAATTGAATAAATCGAGTGATCATTCGACATATCTTCATATTTGTGTTTGTTCTTATTTTCCGCATCTTGTTCATCAAATCTCAATTAGGGTTTTAATCCTAACAAGTGGTATTAGAGCCGGTCTTTGAAGATCTATTGATTTTTGAAGTATCGGTTCTTGATTTGATGATTTTCTGCACAAGTTATTGAAGATTATTGGTGTTTGGCTGTTTGGAATCAAAGTTCCTGTTCATTCTACTGTTCATCTGGGTCAAACCTCAAGGTCAAAACTAGTAGTGCGAACTCTTTGGTGCGAGCAGACTCACTGAGAACGAAAGAAATCGAAGTGATTATGTGCTTATTCGCAATTGCTTGTCAACCGAAATGTCAAAATAGACTGTGATTCGGGTGAATATTGAATGAATGTTCTTACCTGTAAACGAATCGATCTCATCTGGGACGAACGACGGTCAAAACGAAAAGTCAAAATTGCCTTGAAAG